TGATATAACTCGGGTGAGTGAGCTGTTTCCACTTGTTTAGCAGATTTCCCGCTAGAAGTGTGTTGAAAGCAGCTCATTCATACGCAGAGTCAACCCTGCGTTGCGCAGTTTTCAACGGCCACGTTGCGCAGTTTCGCCCGATTAGACACGTTCTCTCGCGCGAACATTCACACTCGCATGCTCGAGCCGTCTGTGTCTCCGCCCATACAGCGTGCGTTGAGGATCTCTCGACGTGCCGTTGCGAACTGCGCAACGCAGGGTTGACTCTGCTCATAGCTAGTCCCGCCTTTCGCAGAAACATCGAGCGGGACATGACACTATACCAAAAAACATGAAGATAATTAAGTTACTTTTACTTGCAGCCTCCTCTTTGCAACGGGTGCGTGTCTAGCTCGTTGGAAGTAAGAATGCTCGTGGCATTCTATAGAGCTCGTGAGGATGCTGAGAGGCAGAAGCGGGAAGAAAGGTAACTAGAAAAGAGAGATTGGGTCGGCCAATTGACGTTGGAGATTCTAACAAACATTCTAACAAACTTGGAGGGACTTTCTACTTATTTTATTTGCGTGAGTACGATTTATTATATTGAGTGGCTTGCTTTCACCGAACCATTTTATTTTCAGCATGATTACCTTGATCGGAACGAAGTGTTCCATATTAAGGAATTTGTGGAGGGCGGTGTTTGCACTGGCACGACGTTCAAGCTCGAGGTCGACTTTCTGTGGGAATTGGAAGATTTATGCTTGCCTCAGTCCTGCCGAAGGTTGAAACTACCTCGAGAAAGCCGCCGCCAGCCGGGAACGAGAGATCCCGTCGAGTCCAGTCTTGGACTCCTTCGTCTAACCCTTCTTCCCCTTCTCCCGTATACTTAATATGTAATGAATAAATGTGTGTAAGGGTATTCTGTGTTCCTACATACCCTACCGCTACACACCTTCGGATTAGAGGCGTCATTAACCTTCCAATCTGATACAGCACATCCGCTTTACATACTGTGACCTCAGGTTTGGATATTTTTTGGCATGAATTTAACACATTGACGACATTGAGACGCGGTAACGCGTCTCACTTTGCGCACCTCGTTGGACATTGAGACGCGTTACCGCGTCTCACCCTTATCATCCCTTTTTCTAGGCATGCGCAGCTTTTTCCCGAATTGTTTGTCTCTCTTCTATGGATTAGAACATAACATTATTGTGAACGACATAGGTCATTGTTTGTTCAAATATGCTCCAGTTTAGAAGAAGTTTTCCAAGCTCACCGAAACCGGCGGCTTGGTTCATTAATAGTTTTCATGCTATTCTCATGAACACGTCAATAAAAAAGGGTAGTGAAAGTAAATGCAAATCTAAAGAGACAGAAAAATACATGTTTCACTTGGTATAACCACATCAAAAGAGCTTTTGGCATCCACTACAGATAAAATGACTAAAGTTTCCTTTTTCATTACCATTACATGTTCTTTAATCGGAACTTCGTCACTATATACTCTATTACCTTCTACGCATTGACTGTTACTGAGATGTTTTTGTACCACTGGTGCTTTAAAAAGTTATCAATAAAAATTCACGGATCCGAGGTGCGGCGGTCGCACTCGCAAAATCGGCCCGGTCCCACACGGCCAAAAAAGCCAAAACGCGCGCGGTCGTCAATGTGTTAAAATAATTTCATATGCTCAGCCTTTTGTCAATGCCATGTTTGAAATAATTGATCAAATTATGTCTGTACGTTGCGTTATGGAATAAGGTCAAGGATCTCGTTGGATAATCCCGTACAAAATTTGATGTGAATGTTAAAAATGAATAAGCGCGGAAGAATGGTGGTGGAAATTATGATTTGCGACAATAGGCAGGCAGGTATTCTATAAAGTATATAATAAATTGAGTTTGGGAGCAGAAAGTAGGATGTAGTGGGGTGCACGGCTACACTGCGCGCGGTTTGGGATCGATTCTGGGTCGGCCATAAGCCAACAGCGCCATATTTTCGAAGGCGTGGTCGGCTTTAACTTTTTCCAGACTTGGTCTGGGAGGATTAAAAACAGCTGCTGTATATCGGTGCCCCGCAAGGGCGCGTGTATGGGCCATAATTGCATTCCATGCACTACGAAAGTTTACCAAATTGAAAGATAGGATGGGAACGATCCAATAAAAAGGATTGTAACGGTAATGCTTTATCCTTTCTACTTTAACCAACTTCCAGGAGAGCATAATATGCTAATTCTCAATGAGTATATTTAAACTGACGTGAGATCCGCTGCTGTCTGCGAGGTGCGGCACAAGCCACGTAAATGACGCCTACTATTGTTTTCGAATTGTGCCAAATTATTCAATGAAATAGGTGATCGCCTTCATTAATCTGATCACTGAAAGCTTCCCATTTATAAAAACTGGCAATTTTGCAATAGGTTTTTTAAACAGTTACTGCCGAAAAAAAAAAACGGAAGCAGGCTCCTGATGTGAGCTTCGTCACGGACGTGAAGAGAGTGAAGCAGGTCCGTTACTTTCTACTATTGGCTTCTATTGTTGTGTATTTCTCTTCTTTCTTCTCTCCAAATTCTCCTTGTAGAATGAGGCCGGTTAGAACTTTTGAAGAAGAAGAAAAACAAACCTAAGCGTATAGAGATATTTCAGAGGAAAGGTGAACTTTCCGAAAGCAAATGCGGGTGTGAATATACATCAGCAGGTCCACTGCCAGCAGGTCAAGTGCAGTCCTAAACTGGTGTCAGAGTCCGCGAACCGTTGCGCGAATCGCGCGAAGGATCATAGGAGTTAAAAGTGCTGGGTCAATACGGCGAGGCTCTCCAATCCCGTCGCCATTCGTGCTTGATGGTAATGGTTGAACGACGACTGTTCTTAGGTTCAATTTGATTCATACTCAGCGTTTCAAATAGTTGCTAAGCGGATTGGAGGCACCTCGCGTCGGTGCGGCACTCTGCTCGCCTAGCGCTCTCTCGAGCGAGATAGTGTAAACTCGAATTCCAGCTTTTCACGCATGCCGAGTGACTGCCCTCACGCACCACCCCCCTAGTCTACCTACACTCTCCCTGGCTCACGGATTTCCTGAAGTACGCAAACATGCCAGGCGAGCAGAGTGCCGTGCCGCAGTGTGGTCCCCCCACCCACTTAGCACCTTCAAATGTTCAAATGGTGTACTTGGGATTTTTGCGAAATTCGCGACGGTTCGCGGACTCTAGCATCAGCCTCATAGAAGAGAGATGTACTCTCAAGCGTTTCAGAACAGCCAATCTCTGTTTTCGTTTTCGCTCAGTCTTGTTCTTACACAAACAAAATGTCTCGCCCACACCAAAGCTTCTTCCTTTGTGAAAAAAGCATTGGTCTTTCTGGGGTGTGAGTCGCTGGGACAGAAAACGATATTTTTGCTTTCACACAGCGAAAAAGTTTCGCGTTTTTAACTAGTGACCAGCACTTCAGTTCTTAAAACAACCTTTCGCGTCGCAATGGTCCATTCTCTTCATTTGATCGGTGTATCTCTCCTGTACGTTCACAATGTACTCCTCTTTTTTAGCGCTCTACATTACATGAGTCTGAGTATCTTTCGTTAATGATTATCAAAGATAAAATAAGGAGTGCCCTACCGACGAAATAGCAGGCGAAATTTTTCTCTTATTTGTGTTCTATATCCTCCAAGGAGTGATGTGGCCTCACTGGACAGATCCTACTTTTGCGCATATACATGACTATTGGTCTCTAATGCGAAAAATGCCAATAAGGTGCTTTCTGGCTGTTAGCAACAGATAACCTAGACTTCTCACACGAGAATCTCTATGCGTCGTTTGCATGATTGACCGACTGGTGAACTAGGACCCTGACCGCCTCTTGCGCTCTAGCAGGTTACCCTCTCTTCTCAAGGGCGGTATTCAATCTGCCCCAGAGATTATTGATCCCCTACTCTGATTCAATCCTCTGGGGGACAAAAAAGGGTTGCGTCATAGGACCTAGCATACCTCTGTGTTTCTACCTGCCAGACAGTTAGAGCAGCGCTACTACCCTCCACTGATGAAGCACTCTTTTCCCTGAGGGGTCGCGCTGCTCTAACTGTCTGGCAGGTAGAAACACAGAGGTATGCTAGGTCCTATGACGCAACCCTTTTTTGTGAACAGTCCGTAAACCGGCTTCCAGCCGGTTATTTTCATGACTGTTATTCGGGAAATGTATTTCATGAAGTAAAAAGCTGTCACATTTCAGGAGTTGGAAAACAGTTCTCTGACTCGTCGGCCGGCCTCAATCGTGCTATCAAGCGTCGTGCTATAGACGTGCTTAGTGATGTGCTTCTACGAACTCAGCGGAGATCGCAAATGTAGAAGTAATACTTTCTTTATTTTTTATGAGAATCTTCTTTGTTATTATTGGATGACTACATTTTGTAGTGCTTCCATTTTATTGCGTGAATTCTCAATCGAACACCTTCCCACATTGTCTGATGACGTAGCGGAGGTAGTCAACCTCATCATCACTTCGGCATCGGTTACTACTTATGACCAAATTGCTAGACAGCTTCTACGGTGTGTTCTCTGAATTATTCTTGTTATCCATCATTTTGGAAAAAATCCTAGCTTCTTCTCTTTGCTTACTAGCTCTTTGTTAATTTTGTGTCAATTTTAAGAATGTTGCTATGTATCATGCGGCGGACTGACGGCACCCTTTGGAACATAGTGCTAGCGGCTGAGCTTTCAGGATGCAGGCAAAGTGGACGAAGGGGAAAGCTTATCTTTATTGTATGCCTATTATTTTTTATTTCTCCGTACTGAGTGGTAAAAAGCTTGCTGAAAAGAGCTTCGATGGTTTGTACATCTGGACTTTCAGTTTTTCTGCTCATTGATTCAGGAGGCCTCGATGCACAGAAAGTTATTAGACGATAGCTTGCTACTAATTTGTTACAGATGTATTCGGTCGCAACAAGGAACAAATATCGGCAGACTGCATTCTGTGAGGTAAGTCTAGATTCTCAAGTAAACACTTACTACAGACAGAGCGTTTTAACCAATAGAATTCTGTTTGACAGGTGTTTGCCGCTGCGCGGATCGATGTTTGATTCGCAGTCATGGAACAGCGACCAGACTATAGGATTTCATGTGCAGCGTCAGATGATCAAGGTAAGTTCAAGTTGCAGTTAAATCAATGTTTGCTGCATCTTTTTTTTCGGCTTCAATTCTTTGCTTCACCTCCTACCATATCCCAGAAAACAGGTGAACCTCTTGCGTTATACCACTCTCATTTCATATGGCAGGCAATAGCTAATCGTTTTAACGACTCTACTTCTTCATAATAGGCATGGTTAGGATTTCCCAGTTGTATATAGTATGTGTCAGTGACTACTGAAGATCAGTCTGAATCACTTAATAGTTTGAAAAACCACCAAATTACTATAAATAGACATGTACCGTTTACTACTCCTGAACGATTTGTGCTTTAGCTAAAAATATGGTACGTAAAGGTATCTAACTTTTTGATAAGAAGACAAAACGTCAGCGAGAATGTTTAGTGTAATCCTAACTTTTTTAAGGAAAGACCATGATAATAAGCATCATTGTTAGTCTTGGAGCGTTTATTGTGTCAGATGACCACGGATATGGATTCACGTGTCCGTCTATC